GTGTGTACGTGTGTGTGTGTGTTTTTTTTTTTTTAGCAAAGCCACATCGGGTTATCTGCTGTGTCCATCGAGGGGGAATCGAACCCCTGATTATAGCGTTGTAAATCCATAGACTTACCACTGTCCCACTGGGGACAACTATATGTTCGGAAAAAGGTTTACACTAGGTTTCTGATTTATTGAAGCACCATAAGAAGTATATTTATATTATATTTTTATTGTATTAATATTATATTTATAGGACTAAATCAGCTACATTTAAATAAAAAAGAAAGTTTAGTGATCTAGAAATATAAATTACGATTGTTACATAGATACTCTGTTCATTCCAGTATAAATTAATTAAACGTATTTAATTCTGTATCAAAAATCGAATACAGCTTTCGACAATAGTGTTGGCTGTCTCACACTCCAAATCTCGTTTTCTGATACATAGTGGTAACATAAAATTACCATTCGTAACATCTCGCCTTTTTCCCAAAAAATGTCCAGAATTTCTGATCGGTAAAATTGTATTACAATAGTGACATCATGCCTAATTCTTTTTTGATCAATAAAACATTGTCCATCATGTTTCTGCCTAATCTTCAAGGGAATGGATCCAGGCAGAAAAAAAAATCAAAACGGGTTTCTTTTTTAAATACAAAAGTCCGAAACGATCTCTTTCCAACCATCTTCCTCTCGGTCGTGGTTCTGAAATCAATCTTTCACAGATGTGAATAACAGACAATTTTTATTAACATTTACTGTTAGTAGGTTTTACAGTTATAATAAAACAACACGTGAGTATAAACTCACGTGGTCAGGATGTTTCATAAATTAACAGAGAGCACTTCTATCGTTGAAAAATAGGCCTAACCTATAAGCCTAGCAGGATGAAAAGTATGTGTATTAGAGCGGTTCATAATTTTGTGAAGAATTATCTTAAAATCTGACATCATCAGACACGAAACAAGAAAGTTCCTGTTTATCAATAACCTCACGATCAAACGTCATGTCCTTCTCAGACCAGATGTCAATTAAATTACGTCCTTTTAAGTTACATGTACCGAGTCCATATCTTGTCCTTATTAGGCTAAAATAATAATAAAAAACAGTTTGTCTCGGAGCTTGTGTAGGAGTAAAAACTAATCGTTTTTATTTATTTCTTTTTAATATACAACTATAGAGTTACTACGTCACCATGAAAGCGGTTTATACATTTGAAATAAATGTATTTTGTCCTAATTACATGTATAAAGGTACAACAAAATACATGGGTGACAGTGGGACCAGCAAATTTGAAGAGTTGTTTCCCATATTCCCCGAAGCTGCACGTCCATTTGTGAACGGTCCCTTGCAGGAACCCCTGATATTACATGCACGCAGTGTCGACTCCAGGATTCTAAAAAATGGGGAGGCGAAAAGCTTTTCTAAAAACAATCAATATTATTCAATAAATATTTCCCATATCAGCAAGTCTAAGATATATACGGAATATCGTGGTTATTCAAATTTAATAATTCCTTACTTTGGTAAAATTAATGTTATGAAACTTTGTTATAAACTTCACCATGTTGTTACATTGTTTCATAAACTTTGTTATAAACTTCATCATGTTGTTACATTGTTTTACAAACCTTGTTATAAAAGGGGTACAGTATAAGTTACAACAAAAAAGGCTTTTTCTTATATCTTAACTCTTCTAGAAACAAGTTTGTTTTTTCCCACTGGAAACCTGTTGAAAGGCCGTTACCTGAATGTTGTTTTCGTATTCGTTAATAAGCTTGTAATTTGGATAGTGTTTCACCTTAAATTTTGTTATTATATATTTTGTAATTTCCACGCAGTTATTTTATTACTATCGATTTTTTACAAGTATTCCGAACAGCAGGTATACAATCATTGCTGGGAATGATTAAACAAGAAAAATGAAGCATACTGCTGGTGACAAATCCGTTTAGCGACTTATACAGTGGTGTAAGTATGCAATTGTGGGGGGAGGGGGGGCAAAGGGCCTGAGAAATTCAGTTTAATTTCTTTAAAGTAAAGGGCGGTTGTACTGTTCTGTTAGGTTAATAATATTAATAAATGTAGGGGGTAATTACTTTTTAAGCGGGGGGGGGGCATATTATGTTGTTATGCCACTTCGCGCGCACACACACACACTATTGCCAAAGGGCAACGTAAGGTAGAAACAGTGTGTTACGTCTTCGTTTGTTAATTGATTTTTCCGTAACT